TAAAAATTAAATTTTATGTGCTTCCCAAGACTTCTCCAAAAGAGTCAAAAGAGAACCTACAGATTGGGAAAAAATATTTGGCAATAACATATCTGACAAGGGACTTATCTCTAGAATTTATGGAAAACTCCAACACCTCAATTAACAAAAAGACAAACAATCCAATTAAAAAATGGGCAGAAGACACGAATAGACACTTCACTAAGGAGGATATTCAGGCAGCCAACAAACATATGAAGAAATGCTCACAATCATTAGCCATTAAAGAGATGCAAATCAAAACAACAATGAGATACTATCTTGCCCCAACACTAGCAGCAAAGTTCAACAAGACAGAAAATAGCAAATGTTGGCAAGGATGCAGAGAGACTGGGACTCTCAAACACTGCTGGTGGGACCGTAAGTTGGTACAACGACTGTGGAAAGCAGTATGGTGATTCCTTAGAAAGCTGGAAATAGAAATACCATTTGATCCAACCATTCCATTACTAGGTATCTATCCTAAAGAAGTGAGAGCCATGACAAGAAAAGACATATGCACACCCATCTTCACCACAGCACTATTTGTTGTTGTTGTCACTGTTATGAGCCATCGAGTAATATCCGACTCATAGCGACCCCTCCTTGGGTTTCTGAGGCGGTATCACTATGGAAGCAGATTGCTCAACCTTCCTTCCAAGGAGTGACTGGTGGGTTTGAACTGCGAGCCTTCTAGTTAGCAGTCAAGTGCCTTAGGCACTACGTTACCAGAGCTTCTACAGCACTATTTACAACAGCAAAAAGATGGAAACAACCTAAGTGTCCATCAACTGAGGAATGGATAACCAAACTATGGTACGGACATACACACATGGAAAACTATGCAACCCTAAAGAATAACATAGAATGTGCAAAACACTACATGACGTGGATGAACTTGGAGGACATTATGCTGAATGAAATGAGTCAATCACAGAAGGACAAATATTGTATTAGTCCGTTATTGTGAAAGTCAAGGAAAGGTTTATCTATGGAAGGAAATTTTCTTTATTGGTTACCAGGGATGGGAGGGGAGGGGAGGGAACGCTGTTAGGTAGGTAGAGTTAAGTATTGATTTGGATGAAGAGAAGGGCAATGTACCAAATGTGAGTGATTAACATGGTGGCATTGAGGAAGAGGAAGACAAAGAGAGGTACATGGGAGATGTAGACAACAAAGATGAACCCTTTTGCACATACAATACTGCACTGTCATTGAAGGCAAACATGGGTATACAGGTAGAAAGATGGGTGGACAGGATTAACTGTTAGGTATGTCTATGCAGTGGAGAGTATACCCAAGACCATGTATAGGGTTGGGTATTTGTATGTTCTGTAAGAATTCCCAGGGGTATAGTAGAGCTGACAAGGGACAAGGTTGTAGTCATTTCTTGGTCACAAGCCAGCTACCCACAGGGACTGAGTAGTTGAACCTGTGGGCTCAGGACCATAGTCACAGGGGACATCAAGCTCAATTGGCATAACACACTACTCAAAACATTGTTCCACCTCACTTTGGCAAATAGCAACTGGGATCTTAAAAGCTTACAAGCAGCCATCTAGATGCAACAATGGGTCTCTTCTCATCCAGAGCAAAGAAGAATGAAGAAAACCAATGATTCATGGAAACAATCAGTCCTAGTGACTGGTACACCATGCAATCATCAGCCTATACGACTATGATACCAGGAAGAACTAGATGGTGCCCGGCTACCAATGTCAACCACTCGGAGAGGGATCTATGTAGGAGATCCTGGATAGAGAGGGAGAACAATGTGGAACAAAACTCAAAATCATTTGGAAAGAAAAAAAAGGATGTGGGGGGGGACCAGGTTTGCTGGTCTAATACAGCCTGATGGAACCACTGAGTCTATGGCCCCTAGCTGCCCTTCAGGTTAAGAATTGAAGCTACACCTGTGGCTTCCAGCCAAACAAAAGACAGGCATATGAGTTGAACATTTACCAGAGGTAGATACACTCCTTGGAGAGAACAAACATGGGAGAAAGAAGGGCTGTTTATGCACAAGAAGACAGCTCAGAGGGCAGGGGTGCATGGAGAGATGGACACAGGGAAGAGGTAACTATTGGGAGGAAGTAGGAGGGGAACTGTTGCATTGTGGTAAATTGTAGTCAGTGTGATGAGACAAAGTGTATGTGAACTGCTGTATGAGAAGTGAATTTGCTCTGTAAACACACACCCAAATCACAATTTAAAAAAAAGAATATGAGCCCTTCAGATTACAGACTTTTTCATGAATCTTTAATAAGATGCAATCAGAGTGACCAATGAAGAAGCCCTGCTGGGCACTGGGAGCACAGGTGCACAGCAGGTGCTCCCCAGGAGCCACCCTTCCAGGACAGAACGTGAGCAAATCCAGGCCATCCAGGTCTGGGACAATATGTGTGTCCCAGGGGACCTGCAGGAGGGAACACTGAAAAGATCTCCAGGTCTGGGGCAGTGTGAGTGCTGCCAGGGAACCTTCAGGGGAGAACATGAGCAGACCTGGGTCTGAGGCAGCCCCAGAGGGCCTACGAAAGCTCTCAGAATGGAGATGAGTCTATAAGGCAGGGGGACGGGGGTTGGATCATGGGGCAGGCCAAGGCCAAGAGCTAGGGCCCAATGAGATGAAGAGTAGTGGGCTCCCATGTAGCTAAGAGATAGGCCTACAGGGCAGAAGAGGGGCAGAGGGAAGCAGCAAGGAGATGAGATGAGCGTGGTACGGAGACTGGAGAGTGAGGATGTCCACGTTGGACGATGGTTCAGAGTTCAGTGGGCCCATGAGAGCTATCAGGTTAAAAAACTTCTTCATGAGCTAAGAAGGCCACATTGGGGACACACAGTCCTTGCCTTGGACCCAGACCCACCAAATTGATTCTGGCCTCAGGGTTGTTCTCCCTGGTACATGGGGTCTCTCAAGTCACCAGGGGTTTGCCTGCTTGTCACCTCCTCAGAGAGGACTTCCATGCCCACTTGAGCTAAAATACAACCAATACGGCCTACCTCACCCTGTCTTGATTTCATGCACAGTATGACTAATGGATGAATGACCTGAGTGATTGACCAAAAGAAATGCCTGACAGCTGGAGGGAGGGACACTGCCAGAGGACAGAGTACGGAGTCAAAGCCACTTCACCAGAGAGCTGCTCAGTGGTGTACAGCACTGGGAAGAGGGTGTGTGATGCATGCAAAGAATTACTGAAGAGGCACAGACTAAAGCAGCCACCTGCCCTCAAGGGGCTGCAAGCAGCCTGAAGACAGGAACCTTTCCCTCCACAAGTCATTATAACGGTCCATCAGGTGCTGCCAGGCCCTGAGGACAGTGCAGGTGATAGGCCCAGCAAGGTCTCTACTCTCAGGGACTAGTGAGCTAGAAGGGGAGAGAAAGGGAATGAACCTCTAGCAGCAGACAGACACTCATCAGGATAGCTGGGCAATAATGATGAAGGCCAGGGCCTGGCCAGCAGCAGAAACTCA